TGTCTTTATTGTACACCTGTTTTCCATTTGGGTTAATTATGTCCCCTATACGTTTCTCGTTTTGTTAGTCGTGTATTGTGTGTTATTGTTCGCCTGTCAACAGGTGCGGCTCGTCTTTTTTATTTTGTAATTTCCTGTCGTCGCACTGTACTGTTTTCGTGCGCCTTGGATTACTTGTGTTTTGCGCATTGTTGCGCATAGTCCGCCTCCTATTTCGTTGAGGCCAGAGTCTGTTATATTGTTGTGTTCAGTAAAGTCGGTTGGACTTAGCTTCTGTGTCCTGCGTGTGACTCCTCCACCACATCCACATCAGCCACTGTGACAGCAACCAGATGCTGCACTTGACACATTTATGAAATTTCTTATTCCAGTTACTAATAAGCATGCAATCATTCAGAACATGACTGTAAAAACTGTTCAATCCCTGTGGATGATACAGATGAGAGGGATGAGGCAAAAGGAATGGCAAATAAGTCTGGCTGCACAGCCGATTGGCAAACATACTGTTAACTGAGAAATCAGGATTATACTGAACAAAAAGAAGAAGAAACTGTACTATGAAACAAAGATATATGATATGAAGGATAATAATAAAAAGCTTTGGAGCACCTTAAATTAAATGTTGGTCAAAAAGGAGAAATCAGCTCCATCCTTCATTGAATCAGATGGCTCATTCATCACAAAACCCACTGATATTGCCAACTACTTTAATGATTTTTTCATTAGCAAGATTAGCAAATTTAGGAATGACATGCCAACAACAATTTCTGAACCGACACATCCATGCATAACTCACCAAATGATGAAAGACAAAAATTGTAATTTTGAATTCCATAAAGTCAGCGATTAGCAAAGCACACTTTACTGGCTCAAACAGTTGACCATTCAGCCTGTTACCAACCCTTAGTAAACCTAGCAGTCGATGTCCACGCCCCCGAGGTAATCTAATTAGCATAAAAAAAGAATCCCAAGAAAAATCAGTCAGCTGTCGTACACGTTGATCCAGAGCGTCCCAAACATGCTCGATGTGTGACATGTCTGATGAGTATGAGGTGTTTAGTCCCAGGGTCCTTATCTTAGTGATGAGCATTGTGGGCACTATGGTGTTGAACGCTGAGCTGTAGTCAATGAACAACATTCTCACAAAGGTGTCCCTTTTGTGCAGGTGGGAAAGGGCAGTGTGGCGTGTGATTGAGATTGCGTCATCTGTGGATCTGTTGGGGCGGTATGCGAATTGGAGTGGGTCTAGGGTTTCCAGGATGATGGTGTTGATGTGAGTCATGACCAGCCTTTCAAAGCACTTCATGGCTACCGACGTGAGTGCTACAGGGCGGTCGTCATTTAGGCAGGTTACCTTCGCTTTCTTGGACAGCAGATATACCTGTCATAAGCCATGGCAGTCAGGATAGTTAAGGAGCCAGCTCCGTACAGGTGGATGAGCAGAGCCTGGAGGTAGCATGTAGGGTAGGAGATAGACCTGTTCTGAGCCAGGATGCTCACCACCAGCTCAGAGAAGAAGGCTGTAGCACCCAGAACTGAATTTGGGAATCCCTGGTCTAGTTCATGGTAACATTTTAAAACAACTTCATTGCAATATTAACAGTTCCTTCAGAAAGTATTTACACCTCTTGACTTTTTCAACATTTTATTGTGTTACAAGGTGGGATTAAAATTGATTTAATTGTACATTTTTGTCAACAATCTACACAAAATACTCTGCAATGTCAAAGTGGAGCTCCTGCACCTAAATATAAACAGTACCGGCACCCAAAATGAGTACCGGCACCTATTTCAATCAAGGTCAAGCACTGGTTCTACCCCTCTCATTGTTTTGCATTCAATGATGCTAATGATATGTTCTGAGTAGGTAAACTAAGCCCCGTTTTCGGTTGCTGACTATCATGATCCATATACTTGCCAGTTATCTGTACACTTGAAATGTGTGTGAACTATCCCTTTAAAACAGCCCAATGTGTATGAAACCAGTATGCGTATCGGTAGACTAAACTCAAACTGTCTAAGCTCAAAGTACTGTGGGTAATTCAATACCAAAAGCATGTTGACAGATGGGTAGGCCACTGGCTCGCTTCACTGCACATCATGAGAAGTAGAGGAGAGCGGGCAGGTCATGATAGTCCCAGAGAGTCCAAACATAATTAGTGGTGATTATAGATGCAGCCCCGGACGACAGGTAAGCTGTGACAGAGAGACAAAAGGAAGCCCCCTAGGGTTTCCATGGTGTCCCGGTTGTGGAGTACAGCTGTAGTCACACCTGCCACCTAAAAGTCTCACCTCCTAACCTAACAGTACACAACCACAAGGCCTTCCAAAGGCCTTACTTAAAGGTCCAACGCAGCTGTTATTATCTCAATATCAAATAATTTATGGGTAACAATTAAGCACCATATTGTGTTTGTTTTCAATTAAAATTGTCAAAAAGAAACAAAAATAGCTTCTTAGCAAAGAGCAATTTCTCAATCAAGAATATTGCTAGAACTTTCTGGGAGTGTTCTTAGTGGGGAGGGGAAAAATGAGATGTAAATGAGATGTTATTGGCAGAGGTTTGGAGCTCTATTTCTAATTGGTCTATTAACTAATTTACTGCCTGGTGACCAAAACGCCTTCCCACCAAAACAGGCTGAAATTTCTGGTGGTATTTTCAAACAGCTCTTACACTAAAAGGGCATTATCATAATTTTCAAATTTTCACAGTATTATCCCAACCCATAAATATATAAAACACAGGAAAATCAGGTTTTTGACTGCAATGGGCCTTTACGTCATTGGGACTGTGTAACCTAACAGTACACAACCACAAAGCTGTCTAAATGCCTTAGTTAAGTCATTGGGACTGGGTAAGAGTACCAATTACACATACAGCTGTCTCATAGTCTGCTCAACCCCACAGAAAAAATAGGCTTTTATATTCAATTGAATAATGATTTGTAATCATACCTATTAACAATATGTTGTTGAACAGGATTTCTTGGCTGATTGAGCAGTATAATACCATGGCCCCAAGTGGTTCAGTCTGGGGGACTTGGGAAATTGCAGGACTACTTATTCACATGACAGAATTTTCCACGCTGAAGTCATCTTGCAATATTCCAATCTATATGAAACAACTTTATATACAGTACCAGTCAAAAGTTTGGAGACACCTACTCATTCAAAGGTTTTTATTTACTTTTACTATTTTCTACATTGTAGAATAATAGTGAAGACATCAAAACTATGAAATAACACATTTGGAATCATGTAGTAACCAAAAAAGTGTTAAACAAATCAAAATATATTTTAGATTTTAGATTCTTCAAAGTAGCCACTCTTTGCCTTGATTACAGCTTTGCACACTATTGGCATTCTCACAACCAGCTTCATGGAGTAGTCACCTGGAATAATTTTTCCATCAGTCTTGAAGGAGTTCCCACATATGCTGAGCACTTGTTGGCCGCTTTTTCTTCACTCTGTGGTCCAACTCATCCCAAACCATCTCAATTGGGTTGACGTCGGGTGATTGTGGAGGCCAAGTCATCTGATGCAGCACTCCATCACTCTCCTTCTTGGCCAAATAGCCCTTACACAGCCTGGAGGTGTGTTTTGGGTCATTGTCCTGTTGAAAAACAAATGATAGTCCCGGATGGCATATCGCTGCAGAATGCTGTGGTAGTCATGCTGGTTAAGTGTGCCTTGAATTCTAAATAAATCACTGACAATGTCACCAGCAAAGCACCCTCACACCATCACACCTCCTCCTCCATGCTTCACTGTGGGAACCACACATTCGGAGATCATCCGTTCACCTACTCTGCGTCTCACAAAGACACGGCAGTTGGAACCAAAAATCTCACATTTGGACTCATCAGACCAAAGGACAGATTTCCACCGGTCTAATGTCCATTGCTCGTGTTTCTTGGCCCAAGCAAGTCTCTTCTTCTTATTGGTGTCCTTTAGTAGTGGTTTCTTTGCAGCAATTAGTCCATGAAGGCCTGATTCACGTAATCTCCTCTGAACAGTTGATGTTGAGATCTGTCTGTTACTTGAACTCTGTGAAGCATTTATTTGGGCTGCAATTTCTGAGGCTGGTAACTCTAATGAACTTATTCTCTGCAGCAGAGGTAACTCTGGGTTTTCCTTTCCTGTGGCGGTCCTCATGAGAGCCAGTATCACCATAGCGCTTGTTCAAAGTTCTTGAAATGTTCTGGATTGACTCACCTTCATGTCTTAAAGTAATGATGGACTGTTGTTTCTCTTTGCTTATTTGAGCTGTTCTTGCCATAATATAGAGTTGGTATTTTACCAAATAGGGGCTATCTTCTGTATACACCCCCTACCTTGTCACAACACAACTGATTGGCTCAAACGCATTAAGAAGGAAAGAAATTCCAGAAATTAATTTTTAACAAGGCACACCTGTTAATTGAAATGCATTCCAGGTGACTACCTCATGAAGCTGGTTGATATAATGCCAAGAGTGTGCAAAGCTGTCATCAAGGCAAAGGGTGGCTACATTGAAGAATCTCAAATATATCATATATTTAGATTTGTTTAACATTTTTTCTGGTTGCTACATGATTCCGTATGTGTTATTTCATAGTTCTGATGTCTTCACTTTTATTCTACAATGTAGAAAATAGTAAAAATAAAGAAAAACACTGGAATGAGTAGGTGTGTCCAAACTTTTGGCTGGTACTGTATATTAAAACTATGACAAAAATATGAAAGAGCATAACAATCCTTTAAAGAGGCCACTGCCTAACCTATCCATTTGATTGAATAGTAATGTCAAAACAAGTCAAGTAAGAAAGGTATTAAACAGATGTTAGGTATGTTACTATGACTGATTATTGATATCCCTAGATCACAAAGCAGAGTAAGTTGATGTTGCCACAAAACGGATTCATTTTTCTATTTCCCCCAATGATTAGTGGAGCTAGAGATATACACATGAGCCCCAAGACACACAGGAAACCAATGTGGAGCTGACATTCATTAAATGTTCACGTGAACGCTATTATTTTTTTTCTCACCACCATGAAAAATGCTGTTCTGATGTCCCTTGTTTTCATCCCATATATAATTGGATTAATAATTGGCAGGAGAAGGTAGATCATCATACCACACAGTTTCTGTGCATTAGGAGGTATGTTCTGAAAGCGATATGACAGTATTACAAAGGTGGTAGTAAATTCAAAAAGGAAAAATGTTACTAGCTGAGCGACACAGGTGTTTACAGCCTTGCTCTTGGTGTCAGATTGTCGATTAATTATGCATATTACAAGAATGTTAATATAGGAAAAAAGCTGAATACCCACACTGATAATCTGCATAACCGCTGTCATAGCCAAACCATAAATGTTGTTAACTGTGAGATCTTCTCCACATGAGAGGCGAAGTAGAGAGGGGTTGTCACAATTGATATTTAGTATGTAAGCCTTGCACCTCTTAACTCTGGACTGAAGAGCAAACAGGGTCAGTATCATGGCCAGGTCAAGGCCCCAAGCAGCTGATATAATGACACATAGTGTAAAAGGTGTCATGATTGAGGGGTATTGCAGTGGTTTGCAAATGGCAAAATATCTATCAATTGACATCGCTGCAAGTACAAAAAGCACACCACCTCCGTACATGTGACAAAGAAAGGCTTGAAAAACACATGTGGGGTAGTACACAGAGTGAGTCTGTGTCACGATGTCTGCCAACACCCTCGGTAGCATAGCGCTGATTCCTATCAGGTCATTCAGGGGGAGACTGAAGAGGATGTAAAACATGGGCTTGTGGAGAGTCTTCTGTGTGATGATCAACAGCATGATGGTGAGGTTACAGAAGACAGAGAACAGATAGAGCAGGAGACCCATGGTGAACACAGGGTAGTTCACTGGGGTAGGGATGTCAAAACTGGCAATCTGCAGGTTGTAACTGAATGTCTGATTAAGAGTCTGGCCCGCCATCATCAAATACCTGTAAAGGAAGAAAAGCAAATCTTATGTACATATTTCAAAGTGCTATTAAACTACTTGGTATGCAAATCTGACTCAATACTAGCAAAATCGTATCTAAAGCTAGTCAGTTCCAGTCTAGCTTACTGTAGGGTTCTTATTAACATATTAACTGAATTTTCAGATTGGTTGTATTCAGTCACTGTATATTGTAGTTTATAATTTTAAACATATATTGTCTTTAATTTAACATGTACTCTGCATTAAAGCAATGTGTATGTAAGTATACGGCACGTTATTCAGATGAGTGGTATAGCTTACCTGAGGGTTTACCTGTCTGTTACGTTCTGTCAAACAATACCCTGCTATTATGTTGTCAATCTTTCTAAACTAGTTTGGAGAGAGCTGTGGCACTAGCAGAAATAAAGCCCCAACTCCTTGTGCAGTAGAATGTTATTTAAAGGAGACAGATTCATGTGACAGTAATCCCAGAGAACCACTCACACATTCTGACGTAACTCAAGACTAAGTGATTGGTTGTTGGGATGATTGCATGATGATGTATTAATTACTGTATCTAAATACATAATGATGTTCTATTGTGGTAAATTACTGTCTACTGTACGTCGTTGGCTATGTGATCTATGAAGACATTCTGTACATGCAAGACAGTACTCACGTATATTTTAAACGTTAACAGAAATAAACATTTCACTTTCTTTCTGACGCCAGTAATGACCTATGAAAAGGCTTTATTGTAAAATCACAACATCAGCACATATTAATTACAATGCTTTCAAAATTGCCCAAAATTACAAAAGGCTCTATTCAATCAGTACCACGGAAGTTCAGCTTTACTGTGTGATTGAAATGTATAGGTAATGGTTCTGCTTTAGCGGAGACAGCATTCAGCGTAAACGCTGCCTGCATATTACTTTTACAGAATCTTTAACGCTTCAGCTTTACAGATTGAATAGAGGCCAAAGTAGAAAAGAAATTGTACATTTAGAAAACAGTAAAACATTCAATCAAAATGTTATAGGAAAAAATACCCGCAAAATTGCCATTCCAATCACTCCTTTCCAGCCATTATTATGAGCCGTCCTCCTCCCAGCAGCGTCCACTGATCAACAACATTGTAGTTACTCCACAATACTAACGTAATTGACAGAGTGAAAAGGAAGCCTGTACAGAATAAAAATATTGCAATACATGCATCCTGTTTCACTCACTAAAGTAATACTGAAAATCGAGAACTTGCTACTAACAAATAACATTCATATGCTAACTATCTCTGAAACTCAATTGGATCATACCTTTGATGATACAGTGCTAGCAATACATGGTTATAACATCTATAGAAAAGACAGAAATGCTAACAGAAATGGTGTTGTGGTTTATATTCAGAGTGATATTTCTGTAAAGCTTAGTGGATCTCATATCAAATGTTGTTGAAGTAATACGGCTACAGCTTCATCTGCCTCACCTAAACCCATTATTCTGGGAAGTTGCTATAGACCATCAAGTGCTAACAGTCATATCTGGATAATATGTGTGAAATGCGTCATAATGTATGTATGTGATATCAACAGAGGTATATTTTCTGGGTGACATAAATATTGACTGGCTTTCAGTCCACTCAAGAAACATTTTCAAACTGTAAGCAGTGCCTGCAACCTGGTTCAGGTTATCAGTCAACCTACCAGGGTATTTACAAACAGAAGAGGAATGAAATCATGCACATGTATTCATCACATCCTTCACTAATTCTGCAGAAATCTGCTCTAAAGCAGTATCCAGATCCATCGGATGTAGTGATCATAATATAGTAGCCATATCTAGGAAAACCACATTTCCAAAGGCTGGTCCTAATATAGTGTATAAGAGGTCATACACAATATTTTGTAGTGGTTCCCATGTTGAAGATATAAAGAATATTAGCTGGTCTGTGGTGTGTAATGAGGAGCAACCAGATGCTGCACTTGACACATTTATGAAATTGCTTATTCCAGTTACTAATAAGCATGCAATCATTAAGAACATGACTGTGAAAACTGTTCAATCCCTGTGGATGATAGAGATGAGAGGGATGAGTCAAAAGGAATGGCAAATAAGTCTGGCTGCACAGCCGATTGGCAAACATACTGTTAACTGAGAAATCGGGATTATACTGAACAAAAAGAAGAAGAAACTATACTATGAAACAAAGATATATGATATGAAGGATAATAATAAAAAGCTTTGGAGCACCTTAAATTAAATGTTGGTCAAAAAGGAGAAATCAGCTCCATCCTTCATTGAATCAGATGGCTCATTCATCACAAAACCCACTTCAAGAGAGCGAGAGTTGCACCCCTCCTCAAAAAACCTACACTCGATCCCTCCGATGTCAACAACTAGAAACCAGTATCCCTTCTTTCTTTTCTCTCCAAAACTCTTGAGCATGCCATCTCTAGCCAACTCTCCTGCTATCTCTCTCAGAATTACCTTCTTGATCCAAACCAGTCAGGTTTCAAGACTGGTCATTCAACTGAGACTGCTCTTCTCTGTGTCACGGAGGATCTCTGCACTGCTAAAGCTAACGCTCTCTCCTCTGCTCTTATCCTTCTAGACCTATCTGCTGCCTTTGATACTGTGAACCATCAGATCCTCCTCTCCACCCTCTCCGAGTTGGGCATCTCCGGCGCTGCTCACTCTTGGATTGCGTCCTACCTGACAGGTCGCTCCTACCAGGTGGCGTAGCGAGAATCTGTCTCCGCACCACGTGCTCTCACCACTGGTGTCCCCCAGGGCTCAGTTCTAGGCCCTCTCCTATTCTCTCTATACACCAAGACACTTGGCTCTGTCATATCCTCACATGGTCTCTCCTATCATTGCTACGCAGACGACACACAATTACATTTCTCCTTTTCCCCCTTCTGATAACCAGGTGGCGAATCGCATCTCTGCATGTCTGGCAGACATATCAGTGTGGATGTCGGATCACCACCTCAAGCTGAACCTCGGCAAGACGGAGCTGCTCTTCCTCCCGGGGAAGGACTGCCCACTCCATGATCTCGCCATCACGGTTGACAACTCCATTGTGTCCTCCTCCCAGAGTGCAAAGAACGTTGGCGTGACCCTGGACAACACGCTGTCGTTCTCCGCTAACATCAAAGCGGTGACACAATCCTGCAGGTTCATGCTCTACAACATTCGCAGAGTACGACCCTACCTTACACAGAAAGCGGCACAGGTCCTAATCCAGGCACTTGTCATCTCCCGTCTGGATTACTGCAACTCGCTGTTGGCTGGGCTCCCTGCCTGTGCCATTAAACCCTTACAACTCATCCAGAACGCTGCAACCCGTCTGGTGTTCAACCTTCCCAAGTTCTCTCATGTCATCCCGCTCCTCCGCACACTCCACTGGCTTCCAGTTGAGGCTCGCATCTACTACAAGACCATGGTGCTTGCCTACGGAGCTGTGAGGGGAACGGCACCTCCTTACCTTCAGGCTCTGATCAGACCCTACACCCAAACGAGGGCACTACGTTCATCCACCTCTGGCCTGCTAGCTCCCCTACCTCTACGGAAGCGCAGTTCCCGCTCAACCCAGTCAAAGCTATTTACTGCTCTGGCACCCCAATGGTGGGAACAAGCTCCCCCACGATGCCAGGACAGCGGAGTCACTGACCACCTTCCGGAGACAGTTGAAACCCTACCTCCTTAAGGAATACCTGGAATAGTATAAAGTAATCCTTCTAAATTTGGTTGTTCCACTAGCTATCATAAGTTGAATGCACCAATTTGTAAGTCGCCCTGGATAAGAGCGTCTGCTAAATGATGTAAATGTAAATATTGCCAACTACTTTAATGACTTTTTCATTGGCAAGATTAGCAAATTTAGGAATTACATGCCAACTACAAATTCTGAACCTACACATCCATGCATAACTGACCAAATGATGAAAGACAAGCATTGTAATTTAGAATTCCGTAAAGTCAGCGAATAGCAAAGCACACTTTACTGGCTCAAACAGTTGACCATTCAGCCTGTTACCAACCCTTAGTAAACCTTACAGTCTATGTCCACGCCCCCGAGGTAATCTTATTAGCATAAACAAATAATCCCAAGAAAAATCAGTCCGCTGTCATACACGTCGATCCAGAGCGTCCCAAACATGCTCGATTGCTGACATGTCTGATGAGTATGCAGGCCATGTAAGAACTGGGACATTTTCAGCTTCCAGAAATGGTGTACAGATCCTTGGGACATGGGGCCATGCCAGGTCGTGCATTATCATGCTGAAACATGAGGCGATGGTGGTGGATGAATGGTACGACAATGGGCCTCAGGATCTCATCACGGTATCTCTGTGCATTCAAATTGCCATTGATAAAATGCTAAATGTTAGTTGTCAGTAGCTTATGCCTGCCCGTACCATAACCCCACCGCCACCATGGGGCACTCTGTTCACATCAGGAAACCATTTGCCCACACGATGCCATGCACACTGTCTGCCATCTGACCAGTACAGTACAAACTTGGATTCATCCGTGAAGAGCACACTTCTCCAGCGTGCAAGTGGCCATCGATGGTGAGGACGACGAGCACACAGACGAGCTTCCCTGAGATGGTTTCTGACAGTTTGTGCAGAAACTATTCGGTTATGCAAAACCACAGTTTCATCAGCTGTCCGGGTGGCTGGTCTCAGACGATCCCACAGGTGAAGAAGCCTGATGTGGAGGTCCTGGGCTGGCGTGGTTACACACGGTCTGCCGTTGTGAGGCCGGTTGGACGTACTGATAAATTCTCTAAAATGATGTTAGAGGCAGCTCATGGTAGAGAAATGAACATTCAATTCATTGTTAACAGCTCTGTTGGACAATCCTGCAGTCAGCAGGCCAGTTGCATGCTCCCCCAAGACTTGAGATATCTGTGGCATTGTGTTGTGTGACAAAACTGCACATTTTAGAGTGGCATTTTATTGTCCCCACACAAGGTGCACCTGTGTAATGATCATGCTGTTTAATCAGCTGCTTGATATGCCACACCTGTCAGGTGGATGGATTATCTTGGCAAAGCAAAAAGACTCACAAACAGGGCTGTAATCAAATTTGTGCCCAGAATTTGAGAGCAATAAGCTTTTTGTGCATATGGAACATTTCTGGGATCTTTAAATTTCAGCTCATTAAACATGGAACTAAAACTTTACATGTTGCGTTTATGTTTTGTTCAGTATATGAAGCTGTTATTCAATGCATTTCTATGGGCTAATAGCAGCATGGCCAAATTCAATGTTTTATCAAATAACGTTGTTATAGTTTTTTGATACCTTAACTGGTCCTAAAATTATTAATCAAATAGCTAACAACAGACTTTCAGCACGCTAATAGGGAAGGGCATTCAACATGTACGGCACTTACACAAATTGGTGACTGGCTGAGAGAAAATGTGTCACGATTCTCTAAAGCGGAACCCAGAAGCAGACCAGGACAAGGTGAGTTGAATGAAGGTGAGTATTTATTTAAAGACTTAAATGTGGAAGCAGGAGAATCCAGGTGACGGAGCGGGCAGCGGAGGTTAGTTGGTGGGAGTGAATGGGCAGAGCCAATGATGTTTCTGAAGCCACAGACGACCAGGCAGAGGTGGAGTGAATATTCCGGGAGAGTAACTGTAGACAGAGGAAACGAAGGTGAGTTCACAGCAAGCAAAAAGTAATCTGAGGCTGATACGCAGGCACAACATACTGTTCGTGGCTAACGATCCGGCAGGGAATGGATGTCAGGTCAGAGCTTATGAAGTGGAGAGGTGATGATCAGGACCAGGTGTGCAGATAGCTGATGAGATGCAGGTGCGTGTAATAGAGAGATCTCCCGCCTTGCTTCGTCGCCCGGCAACCAGACAGGGTGCGTTAGGAAACTCAGGAAAAAAGACTCCAGGACAGAAAACAGGCAACTCAGGCAGAAACCGACTCAGGAAGCTGAAAAATTTATAATAAGAAGATTGTGGGAGCTGTTTTGTTACGACTTCAGTGCAGCTTTTGACACAGGTCATAATGCTGGACAAATGAATGTGTTATGGCTTTACATCCCCTGCTATATTGCGGATCGAGAGTTACCTGTCTAACAGAACACAGAGGATGTTCTTTAATGGAAGCCTCTCTAACATAATCCATGTGATTTACAAAGGAGCATGTCTTTCTTTTATTTTGGAAGGCCTTAAAAACGGTCTAAAGCCCATGTATTATAACTGATACTACAAAGCCCTTCTCAGAGAAGGAGCTGATCGATGCTAAAATCGATGAGCTAAAACAGGTGTTGAACTCTAAGAATAACAACACTACAAGATGTGTACCACATGTCTGAATGGCCTTTCTCCGGGCATCAGACGACTTATTCATAACACAGGTGAGCAGGATCTGGATATATGTAAATATAACCACTATCAACGTTACATCCTGAAAGATGGCTGTTATAAACAACCCATAGTAGTTGTTTATACGTGTGTCATCACAAATGAGCCTCACCAATGACGGATTGTTACAAAACATATCCACTATTGTCGTTCTGCAGATTTTGAAGTGAGTGACTAGAGCCAGCAGAACCACAGTCAGTGTAATGACCAAGAGCCACATGAAAATTATGATTTTCATCAAGTTATTGTGACTAAAAAAATATCTAATTGTATTTGTAACATGCGCTGAATACAACAGGTGTAGACCTTACCGTGAAATGCTTACTTACAAGCCATTAACCAACAATACAGTTAAAGAAATAGATTAAAGAAAATATTTACTAAATAAATAAAAGTAAAAAATGTAATAAAAAGTAACACAACAATAACGAGGCTATGTACAGGGGGTACCGGTACCGGTACCGAGTCAATGTGCGGGTGTACAGGTTAGTCCAGGTCATTTGTACATGTAGGTAGGGGTAAAGTGACTATGCATAGATAATAAACAGCGAGTAGCAGCAGTGTAAAATCAAAAGGTGGGGGGATGTCAATGCAAATAGTCCGGGTGGACATTTGATTAATTATTCAGCAGTCTTATGGCTTGGGGGTAGAATCTATTAAGGAGCCTTTTGGACCTAGACTTCATGCTCCGGTACCGCTTGCCGTGCGGTAGCAGAGAGAACAGTCTATGACTTGGGTGACTGGAGTCTTTGACAATTTTTTTGGCCTTTCCTCTGACACCGTCTAATATATAGGTCCTGAATGGCAGGATGCTTGGCCCCAGTGATGAACTGGGCCGTACGTACTACCCTCTGTAGTGCCTTGCGGTCGGAGGCCGAGGAATTGCCATACCAGGCGGTGATGCAACCGGTCAGGATACTCTTGATGGTGCAGCTGTAGAACCTTTTGAGGATCTGAGGACCCATGCCAAATCTTTTCAGTCTCCTGAGGGTTGTCGTGCCCTCTTCACGACTGTCTTGGTGTGTTTGGACCATGATAGTTTGTTGGTGATGTGGACACCAAGGAACTTGAAACTCTCGACCCGCTCCACTACAGCCTTGTCGATGTTAATTGGGCCTGTTTGGCCCTCATTTTCCTGTAGTCCACGATCAGCTCCTTTGTCTTGCTCACATTGAGGGAGAGGTTGTTGTCTTGGCACCACACTGCCAGGTCTCTGACCTCCTCCCTATAGGTTGTCTCATCTTTGTCGGTGATCAGGCCTACCACTGTTGTGTCATCAGCAAACATAATAATGGTGTTGCTTGGCCACACAGTCGTGGGTGAACAGGGAGTACAGAAGGGGACTAAGCACGCACCCCTGATGGGCCCCAGTGTTGAGGATCAGCGTGGCAGATGTGTTGTTGCTTACCTTTACCTCCTGGGGGTGGCCCGTCAGGAAGTCCAGGATCCAGTTGCAGAGGGAGGTTTTTAGTCCCAGGGTCCATATCTTAGTGATGAGCATTGTGGGCACTATGGTGTTAAATGCTGAGCTGTAGTCAAGGAACAGCATTCTCACACTGGTGTTGATGTCAGTCATGACCAGCCTTTCAAAGCACTTCATGGCTACAGACGTGAGTGCTACAGGGCGGTCGTCATTTAGGCAGGTTACCTTCGCTTTCTTGGACAGCAGATATACCTGTCATAAGCCATGGCATTCAGGATAGTTAAGGAGCTAGCTCCGTACAGGTGGATGAGCAGAGACTGGAGGTAGCATGTAGGGTAGGAGATAGACCTGTTCTGAGCCAGGATGCTCACCACCAGCTCAGAGAAGAAGGCTGTAACCCAGAACTGAATTTGGGAATCCCTGGTCTAGTTCATGATAACATTTTAAAACAACTACATTGCAATATGAACAGTTCCTTCAGAAAGTATTTACACCCCTTGACTTTTTCCACATTTTGTTGTGTTACAAGGTGGGATTAAAATTGATTTAATTGTACATTTTTGTCAACAATCTACACAAAATACTCTGCAATGTCAAAGTGGAAGAAAAATGAGAACATTTGTAAATAATTAATGAAAAATAAAACACTAATATTTCATGATTACGTAAGTATTCAACCCCCTGAGTCAATACATGTTATAGACTGGGTGGTTCGAGCCCTGAATGCTGATTGGCTGACAGACGTGGTATATCAGACCATATACCACGGGTATGACAAAACATTTATTTTTACTGCTCTAATTACGTCGGTAATCAGTTTATAATAGCAAAAAAGGCAGCTCAGGGGTTTGTGATATATGGCCAATATACCACGGCTAAGGGCTGTGTCCAGGCACGTGCCTAAGAACAAGCTTTAGCTGTGGTATATTGGACATATACCACACCCCCTTGGGTCTTATTTCTTTGGCACCTTTCTGGGTAAGTCTATTAGAGCTTTGCACACCTGGATTGTACAATATTTGCCCATTATTATGTTTTAAATTCTTCAAGTTGGTTGTTGATCATTGCTAGACAGACATTTTCAAGTCTTGCCATAGATTTTCAAGACGATTTAAGTCAAAACTGTAACGAGGCCACTCACGAACGTTCAACGTCCTCTTGGTGAGCAACTCCCGTTTATATTTGGACTTTGTGTTTTAGGTTATTGTCCTGCTGAAAGTTGAATTTCCCAGTGTCTGTTGGAAAGCAGACGGAACCAGGTTTTCCTCTAGGATTTTGCCTGTGCTTAGCTTTGTTCTGTTTATTTTTATCCTAAAAAAAACTCCCTAGTTCTTCCTGATGACAAGCATACCCGTATCATGAAACAGCCACCACCATGCTTGAAAATATATAGAGTTTTCACCAAACATAACGCTTTGTATTCAGGACAAAAAGTTAATTTCTTTGTCACATATTTTGCAGTTTCAATTTAGTGCCTCACATGTTCTACTGTTTGAGCTCCTGTTCCTCTTAAAGACTATTAGCTCAAAAGTATTGTGGAGCTCCTGCACCTAAATATAAACAGTACCGGCACCCAAAATGAGTACCGGCACCTATTTCAGTCAAGGTCAAGCACTGGTTCTACCCCTCCCATTGTTTTGCATTCAATGATGCTAATGATATGTTCTGAGTAGGTAAACTAAGCCCCGTTTTCGGTTGCTGACTATCATGATCCATATACTTGCCAGTTATCTGTACACTTGAAATGTGTGTGAACTATCCCTTTAAAACAGCCCAATGTGTATGAAACCAGTATGCGTATCGGTAGACTAAGCTCAAACTGTCTAAGCTCAAAGTTCTGTGGGTAATTCAATACCAAAAGCATGTTGACAGATGGGTAGGCCACTGGCTCGCTTCACTGCACATCATGAGAAGTAGAGGAGAGCGGGCAGGTCATGATAGTCCCAGAGAGTCCAAACATAATCAGTGGTGATTATAGATGCAGCCCCGGACGACAGGTAAGCTGTGACAGAGAGACAAAAGGAAGGCCCCCAGGGTTTCCATGGTGTCCCGGTTGTGGAGTGCAGCTGTAGTCACACCTGCCCCCTAAAAGTCACACCTCCTAACCTAACAGTACACAACCACAAGGCCTTCCAAAGGCCTTACTTAAAGGTCCAATGCAGCTGTTTTTATCTCAATATCAAATCATTTTTGGGTAACAATTAAGTACCATATTGTGTTTGTTTTCAATTAAAATAGTCAAAAAGAAACAAAAATAGCTTATTAGCAAAGAGCAATTTCTCAATCAAGAATATTGCTAGAACTTTCTGGGAGTGTTCTTAGTGGGGAGGGGAAAAATGAGATGTTATTGGCAGAGGTTTGGAGCTCTATTTCTAATTGGTCTATTTACTAATTTACTGCCTGGTGACCAAAACGCCTTCCCACCAAAACAGGTGGAAATTTCTGGTGGTATTTTCAAACAGCTCTTACACTAAAAGGGCATTATCATAATTTTCTAATTTTCACAGTATTATCCCAACCCATAAATATATAAAACACAGGAAGATCAGGTTTTTGACTACACTGGGCCTTTACGTCATTGGGACTGTGTAACCTAACAGTACACAACCACAAGGCCTTCTAAATGCCTTAGTTAAATCATTGGGACTGGGTAAGAGTACCAATTACACATACAACTGTCTCATAGTCTGCTCAACCCCACAGAAAAAAATAGGCTTTTATATTCAATTGAATAATAATTTGTAATCTTACCTATTAACAATATGTTGTTGAACAGGATTTCTTGGCAGATTGAGCAGTATAATACGGCAGGTAGCTTAGTGGTTAAGAGCGTTGTGCCAGTAACCGAAAGGTCGCTGGTTCTAATCCCCGAGCCGACTAGGTGAAAAATCTGTCGATGTGCCCTTGAGCAAGGCACTTAACCCTAATTGCTCCTGTAAGTCGCTCTGGATAAGAGCGTCTGCTAAATGAATAAAATGTAAAATACCATGGCCCCAAGTGGTTCAGTCTGGGGGACTTGGGAAATTGCAGGACTACTTATTCACATGACAGAACTTTCCACGCTGAAGTCATCTTGCAATATACCAATCTATATGAAACAACTTTATATACAGTACCAGTCAAAAGTTTGGACACACCTACTCATTCAAAGGTTTTTATTTACTTTTACTATTTTCTACATTGTAGAATAATAGTGAAGACATCAAAACTATGAAATAACACATTTTGAATCATGTAGTAACCAAAAAAGTGTTAAACAAATCAAAATATATTTTAGATTCTTCAAAGTAGCCACCCTTTGCCTTGATTACATCTTTACACACTCTTGGCATTCTCACAACCAGCTTCATGGGGTAATCACCTAGAATTATTTTTCCATCAGTCTTGAAGGAGTTCCCACATATGCTGAGCACTTGTTGGCTGCTTTTTCTTCACTCTGCCCTCCGACTCATCCCAAACCATCTCAATTGGGTTGAGGTCGGGGGATTGTGGAGGCCAGGTCATCTGATGCAGCACTCCATCACTCTCCTTCTTGGCCAAATAGCCCTTACACAGCCTGGAGGTGTGTTTTGGGTCATTGTCCTGTTGAAAAACAAATGATAGTCCCGGATGGCATATCGCTGCAGAATGCTGTGGTAGTCATGCTGGTTAAGTGTGCCTTGAATTCTAAATAAATCACTGACAATGTCACCAGCAAAGCACCCTCACACCATCACACCTCCTCCTCCATGCTTCACTGTGGGACCCACACATTCGGAGATCATCCGTTCACCTACTCTGCGTCTCACAAAGACACGGCAGTTGGAACCAAAAATCTCACATTTGGACTCATCAGACCAAAGGACAGATTTCCACCGGTCTAATGTCCATTGCTCGTGTTTCTTGGCCCAAGCAAGTCTCTTCTTCTTATTGGTGTCCTTTAGTAGTGGTTTCTTTGCAGCAATTAGTCCATGAAGGCCTGATTCACGTAATCTCCTCTGAACAGTTGATGTTGAGATCTGTCTGTTACTTGAACTCTCTGAAGCATTTATTTGGGCTGCAATTTCTGAGGCTGGTAACTCTAATGAACTTATTCTCTGCAGCAAAGGTAACTCTGGGTTTTCCTTTCCTGTGCCGGTCCTCATGAGAGCCAGTATCACCATAGCGCGAATTGACTCACCTTCATGTCTTAAAGTAATGATGGACTGTTGTTTCTCTTTGCATATTTGAGCTGTTCTTGCCATAATATAGAGTTGGTATTTTTCCAAATAGGGGCTATCTTCTGTGTACACCCCCTACCTTGTCACAACTCAACTGATTGGCTCAAACGCATTAAGAAGGAAATAAATTCCAGAAATTAATTTTTAACAAGGCACACCTGTTAATTGAAATGCATTCCAGGTGACTACCTCATGAAACTGGTTGATAGAATGCCAAGAGTGTGCAAAGCTGTCATCAAGGCAAAGGGTGGCTACTTTGAAGAATCTCAAATATAACATATATTTAGATTTGTTTAACATTTTTTCTGGTTGCTACATGATTCCGTATGTGTTATTTCATAGTTCTGATGTCTTCACTTTTATTCTACAATGTAGAAAATAGTAAAAATAAAGAAAAACACTGGAATGAGTAGGTGTGTCCAAACTTTTGACTGGTACTGTATATTAAAACTATGACAAAAATATGAAAGAGCATAACAATCCTTTAAAGAGGCCACTGCCTAACCTATCCATTTGATTGAATAATAATATTAAACAAGTCAAGTAAGAAAGGTATTAAACAGATGTTAGGTATGTTACGATGACTGTTTATTGATATCCCTAGATCACAAAGCAGAGTAAGTTGATGTTGCCACAAAACTGATTCATTTTTCTATTTCCCCCCAATGATTAGTGGAGCTAGAGATATACACATGAGCCCCAAGACACACAGGAAACCAGTGTGGAGCTGACATTCATTAAACGTTCACGTGAATGCTATCTTTTTTCTCCTCACCACCATGAAAAATGCTGTTCTGATGTCCCTTGTTTTCATCCCATATATAATTGGATTAATAATTGGCAGGAGAAGGTAGATCATCATACCACACAGTTTCTGTGCATTAGGAGGTATGTTCTGAAAGCGATATGACAGTATTACAAAGGTGGTAGTAAATTCAAAAAGGAAAAATGTTACTAGCTGAGCGACACAGGTGTTTACAGCCTTGCTCTTGGTGTCAGATTGTCGATTAATTATGCATATTACAAGAATGTTAATATAGGAAAATAGCTGAATACCCACACTGATAATCTGCATAACCGCTGTCATAGCCAAACCATAAATGTTGTTAACTGTGAGATCTTCTCCACATGAGAGGCGAAGTAGAGAGGGGTTGTCACAATAGATATTTAGTATGTAAGCCTTGCACCTCTTAACTCGGGACTGAAGAGCAAACAGGGCCAGTATCATGGCCAGGTCAAGGCCCCAAGCAGCTGATATAATGACACATAGTGTCAAAGGTGTCATGATCGAGGGGTATTGCAGTGGTTTGCAAATGGCAAAATATCTATCAATTGACATCGCTGCAAGTACAAAAAGCACACCACCTCCGTACATGTGACAAAGAAAGGCTTGAAAAACACATGTGGGGTAGTACACAGAGTGAGTCTGTGTCACGATGTCTGCCAACACCCTCGGTAGCATAGCGCTGATTCCTATCAGGTCATTCAGGGGGAGACTGAAGAGGATGTAAAACATGGGCTTGTGGAGAGTCTGCTGTGTGATGATCAACAGTATGATGGTGAGGTTACAGAAGACAGAGAACAGATAGAGCAGGAGACCCATGGTGAACACAGGGTAGTTCACTGGGGTAGGGATGTCAAAACTGGCAATCTGCAGGTTGTAACTGAATGTCTGATTAAGAGTCTGGCCCGCCATCATCAAATACCTGTAAAGGAAGAAAAGCAAATCTCATGTACACATTTTAAAGTGCTATTAAACTACTTGGTATGCAAATCTGACTCAATACTAGCAAAAACTTATCTAAAGCTAGTCAGTTCCAGTCTAGCTTACTGTAGGGTTCTTATTAACATATTAACTGAATTTTCAGATTGGTTGTATTCAGTCACTGTATATTGTAGTTTATAATTTTAAACATATATTGTCTTTAATTTAACATGTACTCTGCATTAAAGCAATGTGTATGTAAGTATACGGCACGTTATTCAGATGAGTGGTATAGCTTACCTGAGGGTTTACCTGTCTGTTACGTTCTGTCTAAAAGCAAACAATACCCTGCTATTATGTTGTCAATCTTTCTAAACTAGTTTGGAGAGAGCTGTGGCACTAGCAGAAATAAAGCCCCAACTCCTTGTGCAGTAGAATGTTATTTAAAGGAGACAGATTCATGTGACAGTAATCCCAGAGAACCACTCACACATTCTGACGTAACTCAAGACTAAGTGATTGGTTGTTGGGATGATTGCATGATGATGTATTAATTACTGTATCTAAATACATAATGATGTTCTATTGTGGTAAATTACTGTGTACTGTACATCGTTGGCTATGTGATCTATGAAGACATTTTGTACATGTGTCACGCCCTGACTCTGGGGACTCCTATTTGTTGAGTCAGGGTGTGTATATTATGTGTTGTGTTGTTCTATGTTATAGGTTCTATTATGTGTAGATCTATGTTGGCCGGTGTGGTTCCCAATCAGAGGCAGCTGTAGCTCGTTGTGTCTGATTGGGGACCATACTTAGGCAGCCTATTGGCACTAGTGGGTTGTGGGATCTTGTTCTGTGTAGGTATGTGTTGTGTTCTACCTTGGAATTCACGTTTCGTTTGTTTATTGTTTTGTCGGTTGTTACGGCGCCAGCAGTGCCGACGACGGAGACCCGAGAGGCAACCCAAATAATATTTGGGGGGGGGGGGGGGGGGGGGGGGGGGGCACACGGTGTGGACGACTAGGCAGCAGGAGGCCGTTAAAGGGCGGATCGCCAGATTAGGAGAGGAGGCCACCATGTTACGGGGGCTATTGGTTCAGAGGGAGCAGGAGATATTCGGTCAGAGGGAGGCGCTACAGGAGGCTATAAGGGAGAAGGAAAGTGTAGAGGCACGGCGAGAGGAGCTGGTTAGGCAGCAGAAGGAGCGGGGGTTAATAAAGGAACCCAGTCCCGCTCCTCGCACCAAGCAAGTGGTGCGTGACGACAGTCCGGTCCGGCCCGTTCCTGCTTCCCACACTAAGCCAGTGGTGCGTGTTCCCAGTACGGCCCGACCCATTCCTGCCCCTCGCACCAAGCCAGTGGTGCGCGTCGCCAGTCCGGCCCGTCCTGTTCCTGCTCCTCGCACCAAGCCAGTAGTGCGCGTCGCCAGCCCGGTCCGGCCTGTTCCTGTCCCTCGCACCAAGCCAGTGGTGCGCGTCGCCAGCCCGGTCCGGCCTGTTCCTGCCCCTCGCACCAAGCCAGTGGTGCGCGTCGCCAGCCCGGCCCGGCCTGTTCCTGCCCCTCGCACCAAGCCAGTGGTGCGCGTCGCCAGCCCGGTCCGGCCTGTTCCTGCCCCTTGCACCAAGACAGTGGTGCGCGTCGCCAGCCCGGCCCGGCCTGTTCCTGCCCCTCGCACCAAACCAGTGGTGCGCGTCGCCAGCCCAGCCCGGCCTGTTCCTGACCCTCGCACCAAGCCAGTGGTGCGCGTCACCAGCCCGGCCCGGCCTGTTCCTGCCCCTCGCACCAAGCAAGTGGTGCGCGTCGCCGGCCCGGCCTGTTCCTGCCCCTCGCACCAAGCCAGTGGTGCGCGTTGCCAGCCCGGCCTGGCCTGTTCCTGCCCCTCGCACCAAGCCAGTGGTGCGCGTTGCCAGCCCGGTCCGGCCTGTTCCTGTCCCTCGCACCAAGCCAGTGGTGCGCGTCGCCAGCCTGGCCCGGCCTGTTCCTGCCCCTCGCATCAAGCCAGTGGTGCGCGTCGCCAGCCCGGCCCGGCCTGTTCCTGCCCCTCGCACCAAGCCAGTGGTGCGTGTGTCCAGTCCGGCACGGCCCGTGCCTGTCAGCTGCTCCACTCCGGAGCCAGAGCAGTCCGCTCCATCGGTGCCCAGTTCAGCTCCGGTCAGCTGCTCCACTCCGGAGACAGAGCAGTCCGCTCCACCGGTGCCTGATCCAGCTCCGGTCAGCTGCTCCACTCCGGAGCCAGATTAGTCCGCTCCACCAGTGCCTAGTCCAGCTCCGGTCAGCGGCTCCAGTCCGGAGCCTGTGCAGTCTCCTCCACCGGTGCCCGGTCCAGCTCCGGTCAGCGGCTCCAGTCCAGACCCAGACGTCAGCCCCTCTCCAGGTTCGGGGTGTCCCACACCAGGGTCCAGACAGGGCTTGGTACTTTGTGGGAGGAAGGAGAGGGGAAGCAGCGCGCCGTGGTCCAGACCAGACCAGAGGCGCAACAGGGAGGCGGAGAGTAAGTGGTCGTCACGCCCTGAGCCGGATCCGCCTCCAAGGCGGAATGCCCACCCGGCTCCTACCCTGTTATGTTTATGTTGTGCGGTCGGTGTGGTTCCCAATCAGAGGCAGCTGTAGCTCGTTGTCTCTGATTGGGGACCATACTTAGGCAGCCTATTGGCACTAGTGGGTTGTGGGATCTTGTTCCGTGTAGGTATGTGTTGTGTTCTACCTTGGACTTCACGTTTCGTTTGTTTATTGTTTTGTCGGTTGTTTATTCATTAAAATAAACATGTACGCATATCACGCTGCGCCTTGGTCTGACCCGTCTGTAAACGAACGTGACAACATGCAAGACAGTACTCACGTATATTTTAAACGTTAACAGAAATAAACATTTCACTTTCTTTCTGAAGCCAGTAATGACCTATGAAAAGGCTTTATTGTAAAATCACAACGCTTTCAAAATTGCCCAAAATTACAAAAGCCTCTATTCAATCAGTACCACGGAAGTTCAGCTTTACTGTGTGATTGAAATTTAAAGGTAATGGTTCTGCTTTAGCGGAGACAGCATTCAGAGTAAACGCTGCCTGCATATTACTTTTACATTTATATCGCAGAATCTTTAACGCTTCAGATTTACAGATTGAATAGAGGCCAAAGTAGAAAATAAATTGTACATTTAGAAAACAGTAAAATATTAAATAAAAATGTTATAGGGAAAAATACCAGCATAATTACTCCTCGTGCTATACAAATCAAGGGCCAGAAATAGTATTTATACTATTTTCATTTTAAGGGGCAATCTGCAGTTCAAACAATAACAAAGGTACAACCCGCCACTGTTTTGGTAAACAGCCAACATGCAGAAGCTTTTATCCAAAGCGACTTATAGTCATGCTTGCATACATTTTATGTATGGGTGGTCCCAGAATTTGAACCCACTATCCTGGCGTTACAAATACCTTGCTCTACCAACTGAGCTAAAAAGGGGCTGTATAACTGTAACCTCTCTCAAATTCATAGACATAGCTATAGATGCAAGAACTGACCGTCCATGATATCAAAATTATAGTTTTAAGCATGAGTGTTTGTTTACAATTAAATTGTTTACAATGGAGTGAAACAAGTGTACATTTTGGGTTCTGATGAGAGTACGACACTTGAACTAAGCTAATGAGGCATTCTTCAAGAACCAGTGGGTATATATAATTAATTTAAAATTTAAAAAAATGGATGTACCAATCACAGATAGCACAGCACCTTTTAACATAATTTCTCATCCCATATTTGACCTTTTTGTTTAACCTTGTACGTTTAAACAAATGCTTTCTAAAGCTGGGAATTAATTGAAAATACATTTATTTTTTTAACTTTTTTTTTAAAAACTTGAAAGTTAAATAAAGGTAAGGAGAAGGGATACATCTTTAAACTCAAAGCACAATCTCTAATTTCAACAGCTTGACCCAGCTTGACCCACTTTGTTTGGTAAACTGAGAGATGGGGCTGGAGATACAGGGACTGCCAGTCCATGAGGTTGAAATTATAGTTTGATGGATGATTTGAAGCTATGGTATAATGTGCATTGTTTAATAATGCACTGTAAGCACAGATGTAGTGATGAACTACCGGAAGAGAATAACTCCCGAGTGGCGCAGTGGTCAAAGGCACTGCATCGCAGTGCTAGCTGTGCCACTAGAGATCCTGGTTCAAATCCAGGCTCTGTCGTAGCCGGCCGCGACTGGGAGACCCATGGGGCGGCGCACAATTGGCCCAGCGTCGTCCAGGGTAGGGGAGGGAATGGCCGGCAGGGATGTAGCTCAGATGGTAGAGCATGGTGGTTGCAACTCTAGGGTTGTGGGTTCAATTCCCATGGGGGGCCAGTATGAAAAATACAAAAATAATGTATGCAATCACTAATCGCTCTGGATAAGAGCGTCTGCTAAATGACTAAAATGTATTATGTAACTATTTCCGTTGTATGTCTTCAGAGCAGAAACAATACACTTTGCCCCACATCTGGACTGACTGTGAACTGTCATTACACACCATGTTTATAATAGGTTCAGACTGATACTTTGTTGAGAAATACTTTCAATAGAGTGATTCGTATTTCACTTGCGTTCAGCCCATAAACAATTGGATTCAGAAGTGGAGATACTAGAAAGATGAGCATGCCCATAATCTTTTGCAAGTCAGCTGAGACATTCTTGAGTCTGTATGATAAAATGGTGAAGATTCCTACAACCTCAAATATGAAGAATATGACCAACTGTGCCACGCAGGTGTTCAAAGCCTTACTCTTAGCTTCAGACTTCCTTGTACCCAAGCAAGTGATTAGAATCTTCACATAGGAAAAAATCTGAACAGATACATTTATAATCTGCATGACTGCCGTGTTAAACAGGCCTATGACATTATTCAGTGTTATTATTCATGACGATGATGGACAGCAAGGTCAAGTTGCAGAACGCACTAAATAAATAGAAAGCAATGCCCAGGAAAAAGATGGGATAGTTTCCACCAGGTGGAATAAAAAATTGGCTACATGTTTAATATACAATACAAGACATCACCTTCCACGAACAGCTGAGCATGAATCCTGAGAAGATGTAGGTGCCTCCAGGGTGGAGCACTGCTTTGTACATATTGGCCTTTGAAACTTTCTTTTATTGATGCCCTCTGACTGCTATGCGTCAGTCTTAGAATCCCATGAGATAGTGGAGCTTTGATTGCAAAATTGAGAGGATCACCTTAGAATGGGTTAGACGTAAAGAATATAATGAATGAATGAATTGAAATGAATCAGGGTTAGGGTTAAGGGCTTTACAGACAGGAAGTGGCGGCGTGGTTGCCCATTCATTTTCAATGTAGTAAGATGGGGGGCGCAATTCTATCCAGGCGGAGTGATCGGCGGTGCTCATGCATGTGATTTATACAGTATTTTTGGTATTATCCAGTGGTGGAAAAAGTACTCAATTGTCATACTTGAGTAAAAGTAAAGATACCTTAATAGAAAATTATTCAAGTAAAAGTGAAAGTCACCCAGTAAATTACTATTTGAGTAAAGGTATAAAACTATCTGGTTTTAAATGTATTTAAGTAGAGTGGTGGAAAAAGTACTCAATTGTGGTACTTTAGGGTGTTAGGGAAAATGTATAGGAGTAAAAAGTACATATTTTCTTCAGGAATGTAGTGGGAAAGTTGTCAAAAATATAAATATTAAAGTACAGATACCCCCCTAAAAATTACTTAAGTAGTACTTCAAAGTATATTTACTTAAGTATTTTACACCATTGGTATTATCAATAGTAAACTGTGAAACACAAAACCAATCTCTCCTCATTGAATTTCATTCATTCATTTATTCATTAATTCATTAATTAATTCACTCACTCATTCATTCATTCATTCATTCATTCATTTATTCATTCATTTATTCACTCATTCATTCATTACGGTTACAGTAGCATTTACTTTTTTACAGCATAATTCACTGAGTGAAAATTTTACCGTGACATTCAGGGGGGCGTCTATTGGGCACATTTATTTTATATGCCTAATAGTAAAGACATGTCAATTAACATATTTGTTTAATCTGGGAGGAACACAACCAGTCATGATGTTTTCATCTGATTGTCAAACAAATCACTTCAAAAGTAGGCTACCAGGGCATGTTCGTCGACTCCAAAATAATTCCAGCTTCCAAACAGTGCACTTTGATGAATGGAAAGACACATCTGTTACAGACACCATCAGTGGTGTTGTGACATTGGGTGATTGGCCTACACAGTGGTGTGTATTCATGGAGGCCAAGGGGACATTTAAAATTAAAATAATGTAGCTTTCTTCTCTCTTTGTGTTTCATAATTTTCCCACAATTAGCATGTGGTTGAATCTATCTCACTGGAGAAAGTCATGTCATACTCCTTTGGATCAGACAGCAGAGGATACGTTGGCTACACAGGGGTGCTGTTTCGCTCACTCTGATGTGTTCTCTGGTGAGATTGATATGCCTTGCTGTCGGCGTGCATCTCGGTCAAATTATCAATATTAAGAGACCCCAACAAAGTTTTCCTTTTGTTGCCTGTAGGAGAGCTCATGTATAATTCAGATGTCTTAACATCACCGCCCCTCCCTTACAGTGCCTTCGGAAAGTATTCAGACCCCTTGACTTTTTCCACATTTTGTTATGTAACAGCCTTATCTCAAATTGATTAAATATTTATTTTTTTCAGCAATCTACGCACAATACCCCATAATGACAAAGCAAAAACAGGGTTTTAGAAATGTTTGCAAAGGTATTAAAAATCAAAAATACCTTATTTACATAAGTATTCAGACCCTTTGCTATGAGACTCAAAATTGAGCTCAGGTGCATCCTGTTTCCATTGATCATCCTTGAGATGTTTCTACAACTTGATTGGAGTCCACCTGTGGTCAATTCAGTTGATTGGACATGATTTGGAAAGGCACACATCTGTCTACATATATAAGGTCCCACAGTTGACAGAGCATGTCAGAGCAAAAACCAAGCCATGAGGTCGAAGGAATTGTCCGTAGAGCTCCGAGACAGGAAATGTCAAGGCACAGATCTGGAGAAGGGTACCAAAAAATGTCTGCAGCATTGAAGGTCCCCAAGAACATAGTGGCCTCCATCATTCTTAAATGGAAGAATTTTGGAACCACCAAGACTCTTCCTAAAGCTGGCCGCCCGGCCATACTGAGCAATCGGGGGAGAAGGGCCTTGGTCAGGGAGGTGACCAAGAACCCAATGGTCACTCTGACAGAGCTCTAGAGTTCCTCTGTGGAGATAGGAGAACCTTCCAGAAGGACAACCATCTCTGCAGCACTCCACCAATCAGGCCTTTATGGTAGAGTGGCCATATGGAAGCCACTTCTCAGTAAAAGGCACATGACAGCCCACTTGGAGTTTGCCAAAAGGCACCTAAAGACTATCAGACCATGAGAAACAAGATTCTCTGGTTGATGAAACCAAGATTGAACTCTTCGGCCTGAATGCCAAGAGTCACGTCTGGAGGAAACCTGGCACCATCCCTATGGTGAAGTATGGGGGTGGCAGCATCATGCTGTGGGGATGTTTTTCAGTGGCAGGGACTGGGAGACTAGTCAGGATCGAGGCAAAGATGAATGGTGCAAAGTACAGCGAGATCCTTGATGAAAACCTGCTCCAGAGCGCTCTGGACCTCAGACTGGGGCAAAGGTTCACCTTCCAACAGGTCAAAGACCCTAAGCACACAGCCAAGACAATGTAGGAGTGGCTTAGGGACTCCCCAAATACAGGTGTGCCAGGCTTGTAGTGTCATACCCAAGAAGACTCGAGGCTGTAATCGCTGCCAAAGTTGCTTCAACAAAGTACTGAGTAAAGGGTCTGAATACTTATGTAAATGTGATATTTCAGTTTTTATTTGTAATAAATTATCAAACATTTCTAAAAACCTGTTTTTGCTTTGACATTATGGGGTATTGTGTGTAGATTGATGAAGAAAAAACAACAATTTAATCAATTTTAGAACAAGGCTGTAACGTAACAAAATGTGGAAAAAGGGAAGGGGTCTGAATACTTTCTGAAGGCACTGTATACAATATCCAACATAGTAAGACTTCATTTATTTGCAAACATCACTGATATCTCAAATAAAATAAAAGTTATTGATACATGTTTTATAAATATAATACTCTCTGTTACAAGTGAGGATGTCTCTTTTGAACTGTTATCTTATTATAAAGTCCCCAACTAGTATTCCATGTGTTGACCATTATTCCCCTAATACAGCTCACTGTGGCTACTTAATTCCATGATTACATCAGTTAGAAGAGACTGTGTCATCTTGGTGTAAAAAAACATGTATTAATGAGCCCCGTAGAGAAATGATTAAATTATGTCTCATTAACTGTCTCTTGTTGTAATTAATCCATTGGGACAGCAGAAACCTCTCGTCAGTTATTAGAGTCTTCACCTCTCGCTAATGAAGCATGTTGATAAAAAAAAAACACGAGGCATCACAAGTTCAAGTTAAGCCTCTGCCTCATAGTTTGGTAGCATTACACATATTTTGATTACATAAATCATATAGATGATATCTGAAATGTCCAATGCATTTCAACAGAGAGAAATGCATCTATCTATCATAACATTTTATTCTCCCTGCCTGTAGCTCAGGCATGCTCTAACCAGAGTATCCATGTTCATGCTCCGTCAGAACAGATACTGTATCTAATCACAATGTTAAAAGTCAATATTATCTACTCATCTCTATCCTTCCTGATGTGTCAGGATGTCCGCAGATACTTGTTTTTGATTAAGTATCTATTAAAACTAGAGGGGATAAGGGAATATGTGGACACTGACCTATGGGATTGCAGTGGGGACAAGCGGGCCTCTTTACCAAAGTGGCGTATAGAACTGGGGAATGGACAGAAGGGAGAGGTTAAGCATCCCACCCAGGAGAGAGAGCCCTATTGGACAGGGAGGTGGTTCATTAATTAAATCGAGCTCTGGTCATTGTTAGTGGATGAAGAGTTAGGGCGAGGCCACCAGAACCTCTCTCATGACTGTAGGATCCTAAGGGATGGAAGACTCCATGCCACTGACTGACTATTCTCACTTTACCCACTGCTAGCCGTGCTTCACAAACCCACTGAATTGGTGAGAAATTACGTCTTCAAAAACATATACAGCGCCTTCAGAAAGTATTCACACCCCTTTACTTTTTTCACATTTTGTTGTGTTACAGCCTGAATTTTAAATAGATTAAATTGAGATTTGTTTTCACTGATCTACATACAATACCCCATAATGTCAAAGTGGAATTATGTTTTTCTTCTATTTATTTTATTAATGAAAAACTGAAATGTCTTGAGTCAATTAGTATTCAACTGCTTCTACACCTGCATTACTAGCTGTTTGGGGTTTTAGGCTGGGTTTCTGTACAGCACTTCGAGATATTAGCTGATGTAAGAAGGGCTATATAAAATAAAATTGATTGATTGATTTCTTATGGCAAGCCTAAATAAGTTCAGTAGCAAAAATGTGCTTAACAAGTCACATATTAAGTTGTATGGACTAACTATGTGTGCAATAATAGTGTTTAACATGATTTTTGAATGACTACCTCATCTCTGTATCCCACATATACAATTATCTGTAAGGTCCCTCAGACGAGCAGTGCATTTCAAACACAGATTCAACCACAAAGACCAGGGAGGTTTTCCAATGCTTCACAAAGAAGGGCACCTATTGGTAGATGGGTAAAAAAGCAGACACTGAATACCCCTTTGAGCATGGTGAAGTTATTAATTACACTTTGGATGATGTATCAATACACCCAGTCACTACAAAGGTACAGGTGTCCTTCCTAACCCAGTTGCCGGAGAGGAAGGAAACCGCTCAGAGATTTCACCACGAGGCCAATGTTGAAACAGTTACAGAGTTTAATGGCTGTGATAGGAGAAAACTGAGTATAGATCAACAACATTGTAGTTACTCCATAATACTAACCTAATTGACTGAGTGAAAAGAATGAAGCCTGTACACAATACAAAATATTCCAAAACATGCATCATATTTGCAACAAGGCACTAAAGTAATACTGCAATAAATGTGGCAAAGCAATTCACTTTTTGT